CCTAAACCCTAAACCCCAAATTCCTACATCCTAATCCTGAAAGAAAAAACCAGGTGAATCCTAAACCGGCCGGCTGCTTACCGAGGCATTGGAGGTGCTTATGACACGATCATGAACTTCTTGATCGCCAACATGCCCTTGGTGCCGTGGATTGTTGGCTTAGGGGTTTCGGTTTAGACCCTAACGACCACCCTCAACCTGAAGCCCTAAACCCTAAACCCTAAACCCCTCAAGCCTAAACCCTGCACCTTTGAACACGCCGAGGTGACGTCGTTTTATGGCCTGCCGCGCTTCAGGAAGGTCTTTCGGCTTTGGCGCATCTTGCTCCCTGGCGAAGGCTTAGAGTTTAGGGTTTAGGGTTTGGGGTCTGGAAGACAGGATATGGCAGGGGGTTAGATGGTTCTCTGGGCTGTTGTAGGATTTGTAGTCCCTCATCAATACAGGAAGCTTAGTGTGATGAGGTTATACTCATCTGAGGGCTAAGGCTTGACGGCTAAGAATGTGGGGTCTTGCGTTAAACCCTGGGTTTCGAAACCCTAAGCCCTGAGCCCTAAACCCTAAACCCTAAACCCTAGACCAAAAACCCTAAACCCTAAACCCTGAACCCTCCCTAAACCCTAAACCCTAAACCCCACATAAAGGCTTAGCGGCTAAGGTCTCAGGGTGTCGTTTTTCGGCTTCAGGGTTCGAACTGTTGGAGTGAAATTGGCTGAGGCTGCTTGGGATACGGTTGATGATTTAGGGTTTAGGCTTTAGAGTTTAGGGGTTTTGGGTTTAGGGGTTTAGGGGTTGAGGGGTTCGGGTTTAGGGTTTTTTAGGTTACCCATAATGAGGAATATACCATAATTCCCATGGTTTAGGGTCCTTAAGGTAATGCAGGACTTGTATCACCAACAGTAGTTGTCAGGTTTGTAGGCTTTTTTGGGGGTCTGTTCCGTCTATTTCAATTTGATCTGCGAATGAGCAGTCTTTCGGCTTTCCCTCCAATTCAAGAGCTTTTCTTAGAATCATTACATGAAGCACTGGTTGTTTTCACCGCTATTTCCTCTCGAAAGCCGTTCGGGTTTAGTGGATCAGAAGTTCTGTGCTGGGCCAGCAAGTTTTCGTAACGTACATACCGTCCTCCGAAGTGGTTTAGGCTTTTTCAGGGTTCTGGGCTTCCCTAAACCCCAAAGCCCAAAACCCTAAACCCCAAATCCTAAACCCTAAACCCTAAACCCTAAACCCGTAAACCCGAAACCCTAAACCCCTAAACCCTAAACCCCTAAACCCTAAACCCCTAAACCCTAAACCCTGGCTTGCGACTGAGGCTCCGATCTCGATACGATGCCGTCTGGTATCAAAAGTCAGCTGCTCAGCCATCTCTCCTTTGACATTCCTTGTATGCACCACCCTAAAGCCGGAACCCCTAAACCACAAGCCTTAACTGCTTCTGTAATCTTAAAGAGCACCTTCAACTACCAAAACCTGCTTGCTTGTAGCTTTGCATGGTAAACCCTACCGGGACCCGACTACATAACTGAGACGGACCATGGAAACAGTAGGTCATGGTCGTTTAAGCTAGGGTCCAGGGACGTCTGCGTGGGTTAGCTAGGTGGGCTCGGACGTAGTCTCCGTTTCGCCGCATGCCTCGCCGGAGGTCCGACTTGAGAGGGCTACAGCAAGTGTACCTTCACCTACCAGAACCTACTTCTTTGTGGGGCCCCTATAAATACCATATAAGGGTTTGTAGTAAGAACCTACGAATACATAGGTTTTGGAGGGAAGGAGGGAGGTAGGCATACGTATCTGTGTGCATGTGTGTATATGTACTGATCTAGTGATTTGCTCATGTAGGTATGTGCAAACCCAAAGGGTCCAAGCACCACTATAGTAGGTACTTAGTAGGTATTTGGGCTCCAAAATATATTATACTATACTAGTACTTGGACCCTTTGGGAAATGCCATCGGCCGTGCTGGGAGCAACGCCAGGCATCAAGGGCGCCGTCGGGTTGTGCCCGAGTGGGCCCGGAAGGCGGTTGACGGACTCTGAAACCCTCGGAATGTCAGGTTGTCATTGTTGCGACTTTAGAGGGTGTAAGGCTTAAGCCTTTGAGTCTCCGGGGTTGAGCGCTTTGAGGATTCAGGGTTTGGAGACGCTTCCGAAGGTTACAGTTGACGGTGTTTGGTCTTTTGCGCAACCCTAAACCCTAAACCACCACTTGTGCACAGTGTTTCTACCAGTGCACCCCCGAAAAGGGGAGAGTCTTGCTTGCACAGAAAAGGGGCGCAGGCATCGAGCTAGACCATGAAGCGATCACTGCGTCATATAGGGGCCTAAATTATTACCTAAACTATTCTTAGGGCTCCTTCTTATACTTATTATATAATATACCTCAAAACCCGATTCTAATTATTGAGGCGCCTACACTATTCCCAGCCTACCGCTGTTAATGTGACTTATAACGGAGTCCTTGAAGTGCTGCTTGCAGGGACTGCAGTTCATGAAGAGACTTGTTGCTGTCGCTGCCTGGATCTATGCCAATTTCATGTCGGAGTTTAGGGTTTAGGGTTTAGGGTCTCAGCAGTAACATTGCGGCTATGTACAAGATCCTTTTTCATTTTCAGGCACTCGAGACGTTAAGACACGCATGTGTGAGTTCTCCGGTGGAACATTGTAAAGACCCGGTACCCTTGACAAGCATAGAATAATTACTAGTAATCACTCTATCAGAGATACTCGAAAACCCTGTGACCTGAACCTTACGCCTAAGCCCGGAACATTTACAACAGTAACCCGAAACCCCATATAGGTGGCAGCTGGCCGCAGTGGAAGCGTCGAGGTCCGCACGGACTCTGGCAGCAGCGAAGGCGGCAGCACTGTAAAAACATGTGGGTTTTTGATATCAGCATTCTTTACTCTAGCACTTGGTCGGCAAAGGTTTACACAGAGTTTTCGCAAACGTCAAAACCCCAGGTCGAGTTATTCAGTTCCCTGGACGAGGTTCATCTTATGATGTTTGTATTGCAGATAACATGGTGATTGCGACAGAGGTGGTGGCGGCCACGCCGATTCACGTAGTGGTTGCTCATCGCTAACCCCAAGACCACCAGACCCCTCTAATTACCCCTTAACCCCAAAACCCTTAAACCCCAAAGCCGCTAAGCCCTTCTAATTACCTCTTTAACCCCACAACGGGGTTTAGGGTTTAGGGGTCGGGGTTTAAGGGCGGACTATACTTGCCATTACTGGTATTAAGGCCCCCTACCCCCCTCCACCCTATTCCCCTAAGGGTCCCTATGATGAACATCAGCTGCATCGTCAGCGTTGTCATCTTCATCGCCACCTTCAGACTGATCGCTAGACTCCGGGTTTAGGGTTTAGGGTTTAGGGGTTTAGGGTTTATAGGGTTTAGGCTTTAGGGTTACCACCACGACCATGATCATGTCCGTCAACACCGTTACCTTCAACTTCGTAGCCCTTGCGACCGTGATATACGGCTTTTTTCAGTCATCGTGATGAAATCCCGACGATTAATGCCACCCTCATCCCCACAGGCTCCATGTGCCTGCATAGTCCATACTTTTCATGGGCCGTAAAGGGCCTCTATGGATACTTTAAGGCCTAAGCGTGTACATATATATATATATATACATACATACATACATACATACATACATACATACATACATGGAGCCTCAGGAATCACGAGCAACAGTAGCAAACGGCATTGGCTTGGCCATTATACAGCTGCGGCCAGTGCTCTTATGGTGATGTGCCTGCAGTTCTTTTGAGCCTTGTCCAGGCTCTGGTTACATGTTTACATAGATTCAATGCTACTAGTACAGTTTCACTGTTGCCTAACGTTGGCACTTAGACTTGACTTCAGAAATCCTGACGGCCTAAAGCCAAACCCCGACCACCCAAACCCTGAACCCCGAACCCTAAACCCTAAGCCTTTTCGTGCCAGGATTTTGGCCCCAGGGCCTTCGAGCAGGAACCGTCGATCGTGGCAGCGTAGCCTCGCGCTGAGCATCGGCCCACCTATCACTGGGGTCCCAACAGATAATTACCCGGGAAGCAACAAAACGACTGGTACATGATCTCGTTTATATACAGGTCAGCTATGTGTGTGTATATATATATATATATATATATGCCTATATACGTATAACATATACATACACGTGGGCGCACACGTGTGTATATATATATATATACACATACGCGCTGCCTGTGTTGTATACACAAACCGAGAGACTTTTGTTTTGGTTCATGCTCAATTTACACGTCGCTGAACATGTGTCTGTTGTATGTCGTGTTTGGCATTTGTCCGGGCTTTACAGCTGTCCGAACGGCTTCAACCAAAGAGGCTCACTGGACCCGTGGCAAAACACAATGAGCACTATGGCGAGATTATTTTTTTGTAGCGAAGCGCGGTGAAGCTTCAAGCCCCCCAAGCCATGCACGCTAAGGGTGTGAACATGGGCATGTGTTTAGGGTTTAGGGCCTTAGGGTTCTTAGGGTTTGGGGTTTAGGGTTTAGGGGAGGTTTACAAGCCTTGTGCAGCCAAAGCTTCAACCCTAGCAGCCTGGTGAGGCAGCAGCATTTCGGCCCCAAATTAACACCAAACCCGCATCCCTGAACTTGCCAGCAGCACACATCTAAACCCATTCCCTAAGCACTAAGCCCTAAGAACTAAGAAACCTGAACCCTAAGAACCAAGAACCCTAAACCCTAAACCCTTCATGCCTCGGGGTCACAGGAGCCCGGTATGTGTGGAATTTTCTTAGTCTGCCCCCTTTCGAACCCATTCAGACCTTCAGCACATTCTGTTAGACTATTTTCGAGTTTCGGGGTGTCATAGAACCTTAGAGGGTCCGACCCTGCGAAACAAATTAGAAAGGCAGCAGCGCAGGTAGGGAGGAGCCTCAACTAGCTGCAAGCGAAATTACCCTTCCGGGAACCATTCCGCAAAGACATCCTCTCCGCTTCTAGAACTAGCATGATTATTAGGTAAAACCTCGATAGGACCTTTGTAGTTCCTCAAAATGAAGTTTGAGGCCTACCCGCAGAGGCAGCGGCAGCATCCGGTGTCAAGGGGGCCAACGACGTAGGAGACTGAACGGCGGGTGCTGCGGTTATTCCCTCACAATCCAAGGACTTTTTCGGTTTCAGATAGCTCTGTTATACAGCTGTGTCTTTGCCGGTGCACTTTCTTACACACTTGCTCACCTACGCACTCACTCGCTCACTTACCTACTTACACAATCTCATAATTGTTCGTGTTTATTTTCAGTTTGCTTGCATTCAGATTGCATCGCTTTGTTTACTCGATACGT